TCACCCTGTACTCCTGTGATCAATATATCCACCGCCGTCCTGTATCCGTGAATGGCAGCGCTAAACTCTCCCTCCTTCTCCCGCTCCATGGCAGAAGTCAGCCGAGTGGCCGCTTGGTTCAAATAATCCTCGTCGCCTCCATGTAGACCGGTTGGCGGCAGTGAGAACAATTCTGAGTGGTCACAGGAGGAACTAGATCTATCTGAAATAGAGAAAAGAGAAAGAGGAGAAAACTCGAGGTGACCAAAGGCACATGTTTTTACAGGAATATATATAATTTAGAATTTAAGACCTTTTCAATGTAATGTACACTTGCAGTTATATTACAGATTAATCAAGCTTGGAAAATATCCTTGGCAGCGGTGGGATTCGAACCCACGCCTCCGAAGAGACTGGAGCCTTAATCCAGCGCCTTAGACCGCTCGGCCACGCTACCTGTTCTATCTCTGTTTCTGTGAGGAGAATTCGGTCACTGAGCCGATTAAGAGGTATTTTGAGATTAAGCCAGAAGGTGTGTAAAGTAAAAATTACAGAATCTTCACAAAACATTCACTTTAAAACAAAACTACATGTACTCATTCGTATTTTATTTTCACCTTGTTTATAGCAGGGATCAAAGACGGCCAAGTCATTGTCAGACAGTGGAGCTTGATCTTCTTCCTTTGGGGATGGAACCTGCTCTTCCGCCACAGAGTTGAACAGTGAATCAAACTCTTCTATGGAGTCTTGTGATTTGTGGTTTCTGGCTGGGTCAGGAGATGGCACTGTTGGTAGAGACATGGACCAAAAGGTAAAACCGAGGGAAGACAAGAAAAGGAAAGTACAGACCTTGGTTAAGATTCTGTTTACCTCTGTTATCCAGCTCTGTATCGCTGAGCTCCTCTCGCTCCTCTTGCTCCTCTTCCCTCGGAGAGCCTCCCATCTCACTGTAAGCCTCGGCTGCCACCTCGGGTTCTCCCACCTCTAAACCCAGGTTGGTGCCCAGGTCCTGTGGTAAAGTGGGAGCCTCCCTCCCCTCCTCCTCCTCTGCGGGCTCACAGTCTGAGGCCCTCCGTTTTGGGAGGGGGATGAGAGGAGGAGGCAGAGGCCCGGCGGAGGACAGCGGGGTTGGATCGAGAGGTCTTGTGACCTCCCCGCCCTGAGAGAAGGGAGAGGCATGTGAAAAGTAGAAAGAGTGGACAGATAAAGCAAATGGGCACATGGGCTCACTCTGATATTATCCAGACACACCGGCAGGAAAAGTTCCAAAAAACTGACTTGGACATTAGGGTTCTCACATGAAGCCGCTCTGGAAAAATTCAGGAAAATGCCCAAGCTTCAGTGCATGTCTGAAAGCAACTTATGAGAGCGTCTTACTCTGAAGAAGTCCTTTAGCTGTGGGCTGTTGTAGAGAGCGGGTATGCTGGTCGTGAACAAGAACATGGCTTCTGCTGCCTTTCTTCTCTCTTCAATCACAGCGTTCTCAAACCTTCCTAAAGCAGAAATACACCACACAGAAACCAATACATGACAATTCAGAGGAAGGTGCTCGTATTCACTATAAAGAAAAAAAGATATAAATGAAACAACCAGCAGAGAGAGAAGTAAGTTAAACCTTACATGTGTTGTTCAAATTATCTATCAACAGGATAACTTCATAAAAGACTACAAACACTGGCGTCAAAATTGAGCTGAATTAACGTCTCTGACATTGTAAAAAGTTTATTATGCTTTTCTGTTATTTATCTAGTCCTTGCAGCTTGCCAAAAAAAACTCAGTTAGTCAGTGATCTTAGCATTTGTGACCATGCTGTGCACCTAGTATCTATAGTGTATCAAGATGTTTGCTTCATATTACCAAACATTTGTGCACGTGGAAAAGATGGGAACTCCTCCTGTCTTCTGAACAGATTCCTGTGCGTATAGGCCAACTCCCCATGAAGCTTCTTCAGCTCCGAGAACCTCCTCCACACAACCACCTCCTTCACATCTTCGGGATGGAGCTTGGACACAAACTACAAAACAAAGAGGAGAGATTTGATTTTAAGCACAAGACCAGGACTGGCCTCCCGGTGCCAACCAGTTTGAAATTCAAATGAAGGGGCCACTGTGTCAAATGCATATGTAAGTTAAGTTGTCAGAATAAACCTGCGTCGGCTGCAGGATCCCAATTGATGGAGCGGACGAGTTTCTCAGTTTGTGATTCGTAGCACAGGATTTGTGCAACTGCAATGAAGAATTAGAGAGGGCGTACCTGCAAGTTTGCAACTCAAAAAAGCATGTTTCTCCTTGACACGCATGTGAATGTACACATTCCACAAGTGCTTAAGTTGCTTTGCACCAAGAACAACGTCAAACCTGCTGCACAGGTCACGGGTTGGTTCAGATGTCCGATGTCAGAGTACGCTTGTGTGTACAGATGAGGGAGTTTGACTAAGCCTTGAATTAGAACCACACAGATGTGATCGTCTTCCATTCGATATGAGACTCGAAGGCCTGTGTCATGGGGCTCAATCACAAGTTGTGTGTTTCACTCCCTGTTCACCACGGCCTCAGAGAAAAGAGCCATTGTGCATTCATCTGTCTGTGAGAGCTGCAGGGTGCTCTCTGAAATCACATTGTGTCATAAGCTAATAACAACACAAAGGAAGCTACTTTTGATGAACTGACAATATAACAGAGGAAAACAATAATGCTCAGGCTAGCTATAGCAGAAAGAAAAACGTGTGAGCTAACACGAGACAAACCATAACAACAACTATGCTTCGTGTTGGGGGTGAAAGAGTAGAAACCAACCCGCGCTGACACTTTGTACTCGGTGTGTCCCTTCTCGTGTGTCCGTGGCTCGGTGACGGAGAAGAAGCGGTGATATTCCTCTTTAGGTTTCCGCGACATGTTCCCTGTTGTTGATAGAAACAACACAAAATAAAAAGCGAAGCTGTCATCAGCTGCCGAGTCCCCCGTGCCGCCCTCTCCTCCACTCACTTCCGGGCTAGTGACGTCGGGGAGTGCGTGATTACGTAGGGTGTTGAACGTCAATTATTTCATTTCATCAACAAATACAATTTAATTCAATTTCCAATAATATTATTTTAACCTAATTGCTTATTAGCTGTATTCATATATATTAAAAGTCTGCAAAATCAGGCTCCGTGTGAAAAGTCAAGTTTAATAATCCAGTTGCCAATTATTTAGATGTAAATACCACATACTAAAAAACCATGTGTTATGACATTCAAATGTATTCTTATTTAGTGATGGAACCAACATAGAGGACCGAATCTTGACAACTAAAGCTCATTTTTGGTGTCAATGTTTGCAGAGGAAATAATAATTACTTTGTAAGAGTCTATGTTGGCATTTTAGGAGTTTGGGAGCCAAATTATTGATTCAGGTGAGTAACACTACAGGTGGATTTAATTTGAGAAGTAATGGTGGTTAATCGTAAATGACTAGAAGAGAAAAAGGATTATATACACATCTAAAAAGCAAAAAACACTCGTTTTGCGTTAACTTGAAGTCGTGTTTTTATTCTGACTTATGCTAAGTCCAATGATAGCTCTTCTTTTAACTCTGTTTTGGTCACCACAAAATCTTGAGGAAAACGTGAATGTTTAGCTGCTAAAGTACCTCTGTATGTTAACCAGCTAGTTGCGACCTGTGTCAAACTAGTGAAGAGTTTGTTGATCAAAATTCATGCTGAAAACATCAGCAGCAGGAGGGACATTTCTGTTTGGTCCAATAAAAGAGCAAGTTTAAACACCGGTGTTCAGTAAACCTTAGTGGGAGTTGCATATAAAAGAGATGCTTTGGCCCTACAATTAATTTTAGTGTCTTTTTCTTTTTAATTGAACAAGTCATGATGTTGAATGATCCACTATTATAAGAGCTCATTTATATTTGAGTACTGCTTTTCAGTGCCAGACCTCAGAGCTGCATGCTGATGAATCTGGTTTCATAAAGGTCAAACTCCCAAAATATCATTGACGTCCTTTTACATGAAACAATACAACACTCCACAAAGGACCTGTGGTACATCTAAATACATCAACGTATCCAACTTTCTAAATTTAAAGCCCCTGGCAGTTACCTACAACCAGCAATCAGTATTTTTTCAGTGTGTTTATTTGAGTCAACAGGTCAAAAGATTGTATGTGTATATATATTCATTCATATACAATAGATATTTTTCTTATATTTTGGTCTCCAATCTATTGATTTTTTTTCTGTCCATGTCCATTTGAAGTCCATGTCACAGGAACACAAGGTTTTTTACAAGCAACAAACAGAGAGTTCTACAAGTGCATTTAAACATGAGAAGACAGCTGAGACAGGATCTGACACCTTAAAATAATGAGGAGTAACTTCTGATAATGTACAAATCGTGTTTAAATACAGACGGTGTTACTTTAAATACTCGCCACTGGATTTAGAATGGCTCGGACATTTGGCAAATAAGCCTTTGGATGTTAGAGGACACTTCTATGGAGGTCATTTCTTGTCTTCATTCAAGAGCGTGGTCTTTACTCAGCGATTTCATGTTCACAGATTAAGTGACACTCAAAAGCCTGCGCTTGCACTCAAGTATACCCTGCTTGTGCTTAAATTTCATCTGCTTGCTTTGTTGGAAGTGTGTAAGTGTTTACAGGACTCTGCAGGTACACTAACGCACCGACAATAAGGGCCAGACAATTTTTAATTTCTCTCGAGTGAGCGCATTAGAAAATCTGAAAACGATATAAATACAACCTGCTCTCAAATTTAAAGATTGAGCTCTAGAAAGATAGGGGGTAAAAAAGATCAAGAGGACAAGAGAAAGCACTGCCCCCAGTGGTTGTGTGTTGTTGTTGAGGTCCTCGTGATGAAGACCTACAAATGAAACACCTTTCATAACTGCCCTTAGGCACAGTAAAAACACGATCTTAACTTGTAAGGTGAAAAACTTTTTGCACTGCGAATAATTGAACGCAGCATGAGTTTCAAACCTTCTTCCATCCACGAAAAAACACAATAGAAGGAAAGTTGTTGAAATTCCATTTAAATAGATAATAGTTTACAAGGGGGTATGTGTGCGCGCATATACGAGGAAGAGGGGGGGGTAATCAGACAGACAGGCAGCCAGTGCTCATCGAAAGGAGGGAGGTGACGGAGGACAAGACAGGAATCTCTCAGGTCGTCCTTAACCTCCCCCGACCTCAGCCCCCCTTGTGGTCAGCACTTGTGGTCAGTAGTAAAATTCACATACAGCCAAACATATACACACAATACACAAAAATAGAGTGCCAACATTTTACCCCTCAAAGTGGACAAGAATGGAAAAGCATCAACCATTTACATCATTTAAAAAATTAAAATAAAAAGCAGAAAAAGGTTTGATGAAAATAAAACCACAGATTTTTAAATTAAGTACCTAACACACTTTTTAAAAAGCATATTTACCCTGATGTTAAATGTCCATATGTTGTTCCTATGTCGATTCTGGAAACAGGAGCTGAACTACAGTTTTCCACGATGGCAATAAGAGGGAATGCTTCAAATTTGGAGGATTGTGAAGTCAAAGCTTGAGAAAAGTGGGAGGTTTGCGAACCTCGAGAAAATTCTTTCTCAAATTGAGTTTGGAGACTACTCCCTATTCAGCCTTGATTTAAGATTAATGGCCAAAAGCTTGATCCTGACCAATGATGCTACAAATCCTGGAGAGGGATTGAGGTGCAGTATAACAATTAAACTAGATGAATGGGCAGCTCAAATCACAGAGGTTGCAGCACCACTTACTGGTCACATACTGACATTACAGCTATAACTTCTGAAACCCTTTTTAAAATCTGGTTAAAACTTTCTTCTTGATATTTCATCTCGGGAACATATTTCTATAATCTTGATCACTTGTGGATAAGATGTTTTGTTCCTGTTTTATTTGTCTGAAGGGGAAGGCATTTTGTGAATTGATGACAGTGGTCAGGTGTCGCTACAAGCAAAATATTGCAAGAGTTATCTTTTCTATTACCTTTTCTAACCCTGCTCCTTTCACAATTTAAAAGCTTTTGCAAAGAGTTCAAAACAAATCTGTGTTGTGGCAAAACTGTAGCAAAGCTTACTGACCAGAACAACAATAGAAATGATGCAAAGAATAGGGTATGACAGGATAGAATGAAAAAACAAAAAATTTAAAAACAAATGCTCGGTTATGATTCTCATGAAATCTTCCAACTAATGGCACGATGTGTCATCTGACTGCAAAATTAAAAATATTAAAGCTCTGTAGACACAAATAAAACAGTCTGTCATAAAAAGGAATAATAAAAGGAATAAAATTAGTAAATAATCTATATCATTACTATCCCACATATTAATCATTATAGACCCCAGTTGAATGTATTTTCCTTTTTACACGTAATAGTTTTAGTCACTTCAACTGAACGACATCTCCACCTCCGACAGGCCGGGAGTGGTGGACGAGGACGTCGAGTCGGCCAGCGAGGCGGTGCTATTGTCCATGCTCCTGTTCCAGGTGTTGGGCGTCGAAGGATAAGAGGGTGTGGAGCAGTTGGAGGGCGGCCCGGACTTGGGGGTGGAGCTGCTGTTATTGGAAAAGGGCGAGAACAGGGTGTCCTTGCTGAGACCTTTGTTCTTCAGCTCCTGCTCCAGGTGCTGAAAGATTTCCTCCGGCAGTTGCTTGTACTCCTCCTCCAGTTCCTTCTCTAACTGGGACTTAAGCTGCATATGGCACAACAGGAAAATAAGAAAACATGTTCAAGTGTTAAAGAGGAACAGTTTGAGATTTGTGGATATTTACTTATTTGCTCTCATGCCAAATAAATAGAAAAGTTTTAGGACGCCAGCCAGAGTCTTTACACAAGTACAACCACCTGAGGATGCTGGCAGTCTGTCTCCATGTTGGTTTTTATCCTGAGGTCAAATTTGTTCATGCAAGTATCTGTGAGTTCCCAAGTCCCTGGAATAATCAAATCATTTCTTGAAATGGCAAGTGCGTGGTCCTACACTGTGAGGTTACCTAAAGAATTTCAAACTAACGTATTGCATGCAGAAGTATTACATATCTATAGTATGACTCAATAAAGAGCTGGATAGTTGATATGCTTCATATGTAAACAGTAAACTCATTCTTTGTCCATCATCCATATTTAAAAAAAAAAGAATGATGAGCATCTTTCTTTATTTTACAAAAAAAGAGAGTGCAATTTAAATTAAAAGCAGATCCAAAATGAAACAAATTTCTACATCATTTACATGAAATATTGTAAAAAAACATGCTTTTCTTCTTCTAAATCAATGCAACTGATTTAACAGAGTGTCAGTTCAGTAAAATCATTTTTCTCAGTTCAACAGAACTACTTCTGCTCTTAAATGGGTTCAATGAACTGTGGTTGTAGTGTGTGTGAGCCCATGTGTTCTGCCTCACCAGTGGGAGCTCCTCGTCTATGTGCTGCAGCACCTCCCGCTGCCTCAGCATCAACTTCTCCTGTCTCCTGCTCTGAGCCTGCTCCAGCTGTAGGGTGAGGAAAGAGAGAAGAGAAGAGAAGAGGGGGGAGGGAGGGAAGGATGGGAAGGTTTGAAGAAAATATGGCGGGGAAAAGAGAAAATGCAGAGGAGAATGTTACTCAAGCCATAATGTCCTATAAAGTAGGTACATAGACATTCTCAACGACTGCCAGAGTGTGTGTGTGTGTGAGTGTGTG